ATTATTGTCACAAATGTCAAAGTTTTGGCTATACAGTTGTATTTTGCCATTTTTTATTTCAATTTTTAAATAAATAAACTATGTAATTACCAACTCACCCTACCCCCATTAAAGTAGATTAATTTGAACCATCAGATTTTAGTGAATCTCAATGGCTGAGATTGACTTAGTCATGTGACTAAGGGACCCCCTTAGTCACCTGATCTTAGCTCGGGATGGGAGAGGTTGTGTTAATTTTGTTTTAAAAATTAATTAATAAATAAATTACAAAAGTTGATTGTCACGTCAGAATATCTCTTCCATGTCAGCGTAATATCTGTCAACTCACCATCATCTAACAGAAGTGTTAACAAAGACTTAACGGTTGACCTAATTTTTTGTATGTCGATAGTTATGGCTATAAGAAGTTGATGTTTAATAGTTGTAGCTAATATATTGTATTTACCCTAAAAAATTTCTGAAACACCCTAACTCGGCCGGGTACTACTTTTACTAAAATGCCCTTGATAAATAAAAATACTCAAATCTTAAATTGCAGCGGGAAAAATTTTCATAAATAAAAATACAGAAAACACACACTTGTAGTTCAGAGCAAAGCCCTAACACATGGGCAAACTCAATACTTCAAATCTCAAAGTGATCTCCCGTCTATACTCATAATCATAAATGTAAATAACTACTAATCTCTAATGTTGTTGCTACTGAAACCCTTGACTAAGCATCCTCCGTGACGCTTACACTGCTCTCCTCTAGCTGGCTGGCCTTGAACTCGCTTCTCACTAACTGCTCCTCTAGCTCTTCAAATTGGTGAGTGAGATAGGGTCAGTCTACGCCCTTACGTTTAACATTTTATTAAAACTTGAGCACTTTATTTAACTGTGTGGAAGTTGTTTTGTACTTCCACTATTGAAAAGCTTAGCTCTTAAAACTGTATGGGAGTTACTGTTACTCCATTCTTAAATCTCAAAGCTTGATTTAAATACTTGACTGACACGGGAATCCCTCACTAGCTAGTCCGGTTGCCAACTCATACGTATGAGAAGCCATCAAGGCTTTCCTTAAACTTAAACTTAGTTAGGGAAGTCGTAACGATTCATCCCCCTAACATCTTAAACTTATCGTGGTGGCTCTTCACCACGATTCTCAAGAGCATAACTGCTGCTCATCTTAAAAGTCTCAAGAGCATAACTGCTGCTCTGTCTCAAACTGTCTCAAAAGGCAACGGACTGGCGCTAGTGACTAAAAACACTTAAAACGACTTGACCTTCTTGAAGGTGAGTTACTTCTTAAAAAAGAACTTGTTTCTTAAACGTTAACACTAATTCATAGACATCAAGCTTCAAGTAAGAAATAAAATCATCCACAATTCACTTCAAATCATAGCTCAACCATAGCACATATAATCAAACATAATCATGCAATATCAAACATGAATCAAATACTGCACGCACATCACGTAAATCAATACTTAAAAATACTCAAAGCAAATACTTGAAAAACCGTAAGGCGTAGAATTTACCCCCTTTACACTCACCTCGAATCCATCGAATCCGACTCTGATTCTGCTATAAAAATTTCATATTTGCTCCCATAATATTCTCCTTGCTTTCACGATTACATAGGCGCAGACGGTTCCTCGACTGGACGTCAATTAATCGAGTTATGACCAAAATAAACATTCAGTCAGTTTAAAAGTACCAGGTACCAGAACTGTAATTTTCCAGTCAACACAGTTGACCACGACCTCTTTGGATGAATTACACATTTAATCCTCTAACTTCTCGAATTGCCAAGAATGGTACCTGAACTATCCGATTGCGTCCCCAAACTTTCGAGACTCGTATCTCCCTCATCCGAGGTCCGAATTTGATTTCGTCGACACGGGGATACTCCTGGGATCGTCAGCTACTCCACCGTACCCCTTTCTTGAAGTATGGTTGAGCTCAACCACGCCGGGTTCGTCGTCGGAGTCAATGATGGTGATGGCTCTAATCCTCGTGGCCTACTGTCTCCATCACGTCTGCCTGATGGACGATCGGTTCGTCCATCGCGTAATCGTACAAACTAAAACTAAAATAAACTGAAATACTGATTTATTCTTCTTTGACTTATTAAAACGTAGAGACAAAGTACATATTTATAAGAATAATCCTACAAACCCTTTCCCTCCCGAATAAGGTAAACTAATCCTAGACCAATTCCTAAACGATAACTTCCTTAACAAGAAATAATAATCCCAAATAACCAAAGGAATATCCTAAATTAACAATAACAATAATAATAATGGAAAATAGATTAATGGCCTAGACGGCTGAAAACGTGTACTCATCAAACCCCCCCCCCCCCCTTCGAAGAACTTCGTCCCCGAAGTTCAAGAAATGTCTCAGCCTGGATCGATGACGAAGAAGCTTTCCCACTTGTTGTCGACAACGAAGATAGTGACTGTTCTTTTACGACGTTTCCAATTGGGCTCAGGGACGTGAACGAATCCTTTAACTCCTCCAACTTAAGTTTCCTCATTCTTCCCTCGAGGGAAACGCCTCCCCCCTTCAAGACAGATGGCGACAACGTCTTTGATGTGGGACGCGACATCAACCAAGCCATGACTAGAGAATGATAGGGCGGCCGGTACCTCTAGCTTGCGGCATGAGAAGGCGGCATCCTCTTCCGCAATTTTCGCTCGTGGAGGCGCTGGAGCTAGCTTCTCGTCAGTAACGACTTCACGATTGAAGTCTTCCTTGGCGGCCATGGTCGCCGGTGACGTGGTCTTCATTGAGTTTCCTCTTGGTGATTCCACCCGTCCTGTTCTCGGTGGGCCCTTCCGAAGTCCATAACCCTCTTCTTGGGAGAGGCCTGCAACTTGACCTCAACCTCTTCATTCATGAAACTCACGATCGACTTGTCCCAATATATCCATGCATATCTTAGTTGTCGGAACCACTGCACGCCGAGGACGACTTCAGTTCCACAATCTGGCAATTCATACAAGTCCACATCGAACTGTACCCCTTGTATGTCAATCGGGACGGCCTTGTAAAATCGATCACATACCAAGATTTCCCCAATCCGTACCTTGACCTTGAACGGAGAGATTGGTTTAGCTTGCAAGCCTAAACCCTTAGCAATGTCGGTATTGATGAAATTGTGGGTCGAAGATCTACCGGCTAGTGCAGCCATAGGTATTTTATGGATGGTGGCATTAAGGCGAATGATGACAGCATTGTAAACTCCCGTAAGACCCGTGACCGAGATCTCGGCGTCAGGCGGTTCGTGGATCTCGAATGGCGAAGCTACGGTTAGCTTCTTCGTTGGTGGCGCCTCGGTAGGCGATCCATCCACCTTGTCATTGCGAATCGTGGTTGCACGCATGACCTCTTCCCGACGTTGGTGGTTGAACGTCGACGATGTCTGCCCTGAGAGCTGGTAAGAGCTCGGTTCCGTCGAACCAGGCTCTGATACCAATTGATGGACGATCGGTTCGTCCATCGCGTAATCGTACGAACCAAAAACTAAAATAAACTGAAATACTGATTTATTCTTCTTTGACTTATTAAAACGTAGAGACAAAGTACATATTTGTAGGAATAATCCTACAAACCCTTTCCCTCCCGAATAAGGTAAACTAATCCTAGACCAACTCCTAAACAATAACTTCCTTAACAAGAAATAATAATCCCAAATAACCAAAGGAATATCCTGAATTAACAATAACAATAATAATAATGGAAAATAGTTTAATGGCCTAGACGGCTGAAAACGTGTACTCATCACTGCCACACGAGAGACGGACAGGGACGACGATGGAGGCGAGTCTGGGAAATGGTGGCGTGAGGCTGAGTTTGCCGATCGGGCAGGAGCGGAGTCGGTGCTGCCGCTGGTGCTCTTCTCCACTTCAGTTGCTGGGCACAATCGAAACGAAAGGGTGAGAATTCTCGTGCCTTTTTCCCTGCTTGTCTCTTTACGTCTTGCTGTGGGTTCCATGGCTAGTTTTGCGTTGGCGATGAATCAGAAAGTAGATTCTGATGGAAATCTGACAGTTTAGCTTGAATTTTGGGTACTCTCGGAGACTTCCTCTTCTCTTCACCTTTTCGGATTTGAGAGAAAGCAAGTAGATACCAAATTGGCCTATAGGTGGCGGGGGATGAATGTACGAGCGGTGGGGTTTGTTTATTGGGGTGGGGAGGTAACGGTGGAAGGGTTTAGGGTTTCTTTAGAGTAGGATTTTTTTCATTTAGTGAATGTGGACCGGTTTTTGCATGGGGTGATGGGAAAATCCGGGCCGAGCGCCCTCTTGGCCTTTTCTTTCTAAATAATAATAATAATAATTATTATTATTATTCCCAATCCGCGGTTGCAATCCTTAGTACGTAACCGTTAATCCAACCGCTCATGTATTATGGTCGAACCTGAACCCAAAGGTCGGGTATAACAATTTCAAAACTATATTTTCCCCTTTATTTCACTTTGTCATAACGTTATCTAGGAAATTAGTTATTTGACACACGTGTTATTAACATGTTGAGTTGTGTTTGATATTTTGAAAATCTTTTACGTTTTTCTACAAAGTAATAATGTCTCAAATATATTAGATATATTCAAAAAAAAAATCGCTATTGCCTAAGGTGAATGAAAGGTTTGTTCAAGTATTTTTCCTACAAACCTTTCAGTAAACTTTCCAAATGGTTTTTTGTTTTGTTTTTGTTTGTAAGTGTGATTGTTCAAAAAATTATGATAAGGAACTTGAGTTGCAAGTCACCGCTGTCTCTATGTTTAATACATAATCAATTGCAACGTGATTATGTGAAATAAAACGTATCCCACGGACTTACTGTTTCCCTTTTGGTAACTGTTAATACTTAATACTTCTACTACAGAAGTGATCAGGCATTCTATAATCACTAGGGATCCGTGATCAAGCTCATAATGTTGGATTATTACAAGAGTATTCTACATTATACATACTTTGCCGTATAAATGAGGATTATGAACGAAATGAATCATACATCTTGTTAAGAAACGAGAGTACGAGACCCTAGTACTTGGAGTGAGAAAGGCAGCTTTAACAGTTAAACCCGCAATTAATTATCCGAGCTCAAAGGTTAATCATCTAAATCTCATCAAATAAAAAAGAAAAACAACGCCTCTGTAACTTCCCTCGGCCAGGCAGCCATGCTCTTCAGAATTCCCTCCTTGTCTTGATTACTCTAATCCATCCTCCCCTTAATACACCATACTCTTTGCCTCTGCTACTTGTTCCGTTTTACTCCCTTCCTTTTTTTCTATTTCCCTCCCGTTTTTGCTTCTTTTCTGTCTTTCCATAGCCATTACTTCACCTCAAAACTCCACGCACGCACGCTCCCCCTCCTCCCTTTATTAATTACATTCACCTGACGATCGGCCGGCCAAACCCCAGTTCAGAAGTCGTTGTGATTTGCCCTTCTCTGGATCGAAACCAAGTTTAGCTATCATCAGTACATTGTAATGACGAAGCAGAGGAAGTGCTCTGTTCTTGGAGTTGCTGTGATTGCCGCGGCAGTGCTGCTGTTATTCGGGCTATGTAGTGCTGCGCAAGCGCCGCCGCCGGCGGAGGAGCCGCAGACGTTTGTGAGGAAGTTCATAAGTTGGGATGACGCGAGGCTCGATGGCTATAGCTATGAAAATGGTTATGGGGATGAGCAGCAGCAGGGGGAAGCGAGGCCGAGTTACGGCGAGGCATATTACAAGGGAAGCAGAGTGATCGTCGTGGACCAGAACGGCGGCGGGGATTCCGTTACTGTTCAAGGAGCCGTGGATTTGGTCCATGAGTTCAACACTCAGAGGGTTAAAATCCACATCCTCCCCGGTACTTACAGGTCAGGAATTAACTGGTTATGTAAAAAGACTCTGTTTCTTTTCCCCTGCCCCCTCGGGCTCAAACTTTTCGAGCAGAAAGAGTCACAATTTTACGCAGAAAAGCAATATACCTGAAGTTGAACTTGTATCTGAAGAAGCAGGAGGAGAAATTAAGCTTAACATTTTGGTTTTTGAGTACGGAGGAAGTTTCAATGACCTTGCTAATAGCTCTTGCCATGGATATGCTCTGTTTTCAGTTCAAAGCAAAAACAGAGTGGGAGAAAAGAAAAGTTGGTTTCTTTTTTTTTTTTTTTCCCCCCCTTTTCGAGGTGTTTCTCTCACCAGCTATTTTCATGGGTTAGTGGGTGGTCGTGAAATAGAATAGAATTATGGAAAACTAGACAGAGTTAAGCTAAGAAAGTGGTTACCTTTAGGACTCTGTGGTGGTTACTAAAGACTATGGTGAATGAATCACATGGTTAGGCATTCTCTATCAAAGAAAGACGGTTTTTTTAACCCAAACTTGTCCTGGTTTTAGCATCAAAATAGGGATTAGTGGCTCACTTTTTTCCCTTTTTTGTGTGCCAGGGAGAAGGTTGTTGTGCCAGTTACCAAGCCGTACGTCTCGCTGATTGGGAACGAAAGCGACGTGTCCAAAACAGTGATAACATGGCACAACAAAGCTTCTGATTTGGACTCCAGAGGAATTGAGCTTGGAACCTTCAAGTCTGCGTCGGTTACCGTTCTCTCCGATTTCTTCTGCGCCACTGGGCTCACTTTCGAGGTATTTATTGGTAATTCTGTCAGGATTTCATAACTGAAGAACATTCATAAAAAATGGCTTCATTTCCATATGCAGAATTCGGTAGTGGCAGTTCCAGGAGGATATGGAATGCAAGCAGTGGCGCTGAGGGTTGCAGGGGACAAAGCTTTCTTCTACAGGGTGAAGATCAAAGGTTCGCAGGACACGCTGCTGGACGAAACCGGATCGCACTACTACTACCAGTCTCACATTCTGGGCAGCATTGATTTCATCTTTGGCCGCGGCAGGACGCTGTTCCAGGACTGTGTGGTGGAGTCTACAGCAGAGAACTACGGAGCGATCGCAGCACACCACAGGGATTCGGCGGAGGAGGACACCGGTTTCTCGTTCGTGGGTTGCTTGATCAGAGGAACAGGGAAGATTCTGCTGGGAAGGGCATGGGGAAACTGTTCAAGGGTCATCTATTCCTACTGCCATATTGATGACGTGATTACACCTCCAGGATGGAGCGACTGGGACAAACCTGACAGGCAACGGTTAGTGTTAACCCTCCCACAAGAACAGCTATTTATTTCCTTTGCTAATGACGAATTTCGGTGTACTGGGTGTTCTGCAGAACTGCAGTTTTTGGGGAGTACAGATGCAAGGGAAGAGGAGCAGATACAAGGAGGAGAGTAGCTTGGGCAAAGACCCACTTTACTCTTCAGGAAGTCAAACCCTTCTTGGACTTGAGATTCATAGATGGACACCAATGGCTGAGACTATAGCTCTCCCTCTCACTTTCTTTCCTCTGTTTATTCTTTCATTCCTTCTCTTCTTTACCCCATTCAAGGGGATTCTGTTGCATGATAGAAAGAAAAGTACACATAGCACTCTTTCGTATAGTTGCAAGGAAATAGGAGGATACTGTAAGTTCACCATTGATATTAAATGAGAGACAGAACACATGTATGATACACATTAAACACAACTTAACTGTGTCAATGACAAGACTTAGAATACTGACTCATCAATTAGGAAGAGCTTGAATCCCCCATCTTTATACACTCAAAACCTACAACAAGAATCTAGGATATATCTAACACTACACCAACCTGTAGATCTATGATCTCTATTGGATGCTGGAAGGGATAATCTGACGGGTACTGTCAGTTTTCCCATATCAGTAGTCACTATTTACACAGAGCCCTTCTACAAATTATATCCAAGCCATGAGCTCCACAACAATCCAATGCAGCAGAAGAAACATCGAAGTTTAAGCTGAGACCTCCATGAGTTCTATAGATTTACAATTGTTGCCAGAAGAAGGAAACAGCTTCATCTCCAATTCCTCACCGTTGTTATCATCAGCACCAACTTGATGTTCTGCACCCTCATTAATAACTTCCATGTCAGCAACTCCATCAACTGGAAGAATGCCCTCTTTATTATTGGCATTGTCCTTGTCCTCTTTATTATGATTATTGGCATTGATGTCACTACCACCATCTGCACAGCTTTTGTCACTTGCGATAGGCTGTCTAACATCACCACCATCTATATGTTCATCAGTTGATATAGGCTGACTAGGATTGTCAGAGTCCATATCTTCCGAACCACAATCAGCGCTAGTTAATGTAGTTTCAGCAGTTTTTCCACATTCAATAGCATCAGTTTGATCAATTTCAGCACAGGGTGCAGGTGCGATGCTGCATCTGTTGCCCATTGCAGTAGATGAAGAAATGGGCGATTTTATAGTTGCAGATATTGCTGAGAGTATGTCTGGTTTTGGCTGAATGTCAATCCAATGATCATCCACCCAGTCTTGGGAGGTTCTAATATCCTTTCTTTGCAGGTTCAAAACGAACTTTTCACCTGGATAAAGGAAAGCAACTTGGTAAAGGAATAATAGAGGAGAACATGCTTTAACCTCAGATCATCCAATTACAATAATCATACCAGGAAAGTAAACTTGAACAGCATTGCTGTTATTGTTGATGCTGGTTACAATACCCTCCCACCAGCCATCACTCCACCAAGCATCAACCGCAGACCCAACCTCAAGGCTCAGGTCTGTTTCTTTGTTTGAAGGCGCTGGCCGAATAGTTAGGCGGCCTAAACGTCTCAAACCAAGTTTATCAGCCACCGCCAATCTGAAAGCTGGGATCCATTCCTGAAAACAAGTTTGCTAATAAGTTGAACTTCCACCAGAAAAAGGGGAGCTCGGATATAAATGGTCAGACAAACTGTTCATATATTTCACAATAAAGGCATGCAGGTTTTGAAGTATGCAGTGGTTGAGGCTTTTGTTTTCTCCTACCTTTATTTTCTTTGGGGTGAACAGTAAGCATGACTCTAAATATCAAGAAGTAAACAGAATAAGGAAAACACTATGCATAGCACATATAAAAACCAACTAAGTTCCGAGTGTGGTGTGACACTTGCATCAATCTCAGGGCCAAGCCTATGCCAAGTAACCCGATCTATGTTCACTTTCAGTGACAAGTCACAAGGATTTTTTTGCATTCCTGCTCTTTTTATGTACAGGTAAAGCTAGTACAGAGAAATTGCACCATAAACTTAAACATAACTCAAGGTTTTCGTACAAAAAAAAAAACATACCTCAAGGTTTCCACGCTCATCCTCATCCCGCAAGTCATCATATCGGACTTTTATTTGTCTTCTGGAAAACTGCAGGACTGTACACCTAAACCAACATCCCCTTATCCCACTATCTTGGCATAAATATTCAATCTTCTCATTAACATTGAATAGTGCAGCACTCCAAGGATTAAGCTCAACATTATTCAGAGGAAGCAGTCGCTTGCCAGAAACCCCAGGTTTTAAACCAGAGTAAAATGCTCGAAAACCGGCCACCTGGCTGCCATCCTTCTCGAAATTTTGACGCCCTTCAATGCTCCTGGCCCTCTTCACTCCTAGTTTTACATTTTCCCCTGCACTCAACTCTTCATCTTCTTCATCACGTTTGCCATCTCCAGTATCGTCTGCCTCAAGAAAATGCTTTGAACTCAAGCAAGAGAGAATAGGTTGATCAAAGTAGCCACGAAGCTTACTCAAATCAAAAGGTTTTACTTTATTGTTCCTATACTGTCGGAAACATAAATGGATCCTGGCTGAAAATGAACTAGGAATGGAAGCCACGCAATCCTCATAATGTTCAAGAGTTAAAACAGTGGCAGGACCATCGACACACTCTGCACTGATGACTTGTGAATATTGTGTAATGAAGATTTCTTTCGGATGAGCGCTTCGAAGAGGAACAACCCCCTTGACTTCTAGGTTATGGTGAAACCATCTTACTTTGACTTTTTTCTGACCCCTCTTGTCTTCATACATGTCTTCCAAATAGGCAACATATTGATTCTCTCCTTCAGCCATCACAAATACGAATGATTGAGCCTGGCGTTGAGACAAATAAATATTAATCAGTCACAAGTTAATAGTAATGAAACTTAAGGGAACAGGAGACGGGCCCAAAATTACGACCCCACCTCAGATGGTCTGTCTGATGCACAAATAAGAAGACATACTTCGTTTACCAATGACAGAAACACAATGAAACTTACGGGAACAGGAGACGGGCCCAAAATTACGACCCCACCTCAGATGGTCTGTCTGATGCACGAATAAGAAGACATACTTCGTTTACCAATGACAGAAACATAGGAGACTATATTTTTCTCAAGACCATTTCTCATGAACAAAACTTCGAATTCTAAAGTGTAACTAAAATCTTAAAGAACCCCCCCCCCCCCCCCCTTTTGAATGACACAGTTTCAGATTTTTTTTGACTGGGGCGGATTGAAGCTCACACTAAGGGCTCGGGCCTTAGGGTCAGTTGGTGGTTGATGAAAGCTCAGAGTTCACGAAAAATTGCCTCAGCTTAATAACAAGATCATTTCAATCACTCTGCAGATTCAAGGATAATGCTCCACAATCTTCGCTTAGTAATTTCAGAATGTATACTCACCGCCATAGTTGTTCCATTCCTGCAAAATGCTGGGAAATGCTTGAGCTGTTTCCCACAAGTCCAAGCAACTCCAGACCATACAATTTCTGAACGATGTCCATTCACAATCCTCAAGTGTCGGCCCTGCAATTGACAGGCAAGACAGGCATCAAAGAACAATTGCACAGTGATGCTAGAGACTGAGTTAACTTTTCAATATGGTACCTGTGTATGTTGTCCACCCGAACTAGTCACAGGAAACTCTTGTGATTCCAAAGCTTGTCCTATATAACATTTTTGCAACTCTGTTACACATTAGAGAGCTCAAAGGTTTGAAAAGCTAAGAGAATTACAGCTCTTTAAGAGGGGTGCATATTTAGTAGATTTGACACCCAACCCTTGATATTACCATCCACAAGAAGCAATGAAAATGACAGTGACCTAAACATATTCCATAGGATTGTCTGAACAATGATTAAGGGCTGTCAATAACTAGGACAAAAGAATTACTATTGGTGGTGCATTAAGCATAGCAGTCTATGTTTTTATATCAATAAACTAATCAGTGTTACTAATAATTTGATGCAGGGTATGGGGGGAAAATAGACCAGCATCAGAAATACGTACTGGAATGATCGCCTTGCACATTCTGCTTTGACAGCATAGATGTAAGCCAATCTATAACCTCTCTTCTCGACCTCCATTTGAAACCAGCATGAATCGAGTTTTCAGCACCATAAGCTTGCACAAACTCCTCAGCAACGACATAGAACATGTGTCTAACACTCCTTTCAGTACCCACAATCGCCAGTATGGATTCTCCAGCAGAATCTTTCAGGAAATAGTGAACCACGCGGTTCCCACGCTCTTGTGAAACAAATTGTTCTTTCCATTCCACAAAATAACTACCGTTTGCATTCATTTTTGCAGGCAGCAGGATTACCACCGCACAAAGTGCCAGATACCTACTAACAACACTACTTACATAGCTGATGATTGCTCACTATGAGTCTATGACAGGAAACAATATGAGCCGATCTCCTAAAATGACACCAAATATTGATTTGGCAAGTAATACCACAGAAGGGTAACCCTCCCGGCTCCCCTAGCCTAAAGGGCTACACACTTAAACGAACAAATGAGACCGTCTTTAGAATACTCAACCAACCAAAGGGAAAATCAAGGTCGGTAACCGTAATGAACTGTGCATACGGTCTTCCGCATACATAAGCCACAAAACCGGCCAAATTCGGCAATAACTCCGGCACCCTCAGAAGAATCAACAACCTTTCAGCTCAAAAGAGCTAGCAACAGTTGATAAATGATATCAGAAATGGAAATCCATCTAAAATCCGGTCATCAAACCCTAGCACCTACCACCAAAGTTTGGGAGCTGAAGGGCTAGAGAGAGAGAGAGAGAACCAACTCAAAGAATTCTGCCAAAGAGGAAATGGGCGGTAGATAAAACTGACCAGAACTCAGAAAAATCAAGACTGCGGAGATCCGAAAGCAGATCAGACACAACGCCCAGGAAACTGAAGTCCAAGCTGAAAAGGTGAACGAGGCACCAGGAAATGCCTTTGACCGAGTTCGCCAATGGAATCATCAAGACAATAGAACGGGCATCAATCAATCAGTCCCCACGTCAACAGAAAAGGGTACACAGAACCAACGTCGGTTGATTTCGAGGCGCCTCTACCGGAAAGAAGAGCGTCCCGGCGGCGGCGGGGAAGGAATATCCAGGGGAGGTGGGGCGCGAAGAGGAAGAAGACAGAAGGCGTCGAGGCGAGTACTGGAGGAAGGGAAAGGGCAATTGTCACCAGAGAGAGTTTCGCAGAGGGGTTTTGGCAAAAAGATGCAGGTGATGAAGCTCCCGGAGAAAGAGGAGGAGAAGAAGAAGAAGAAGAAGAAGAAGAAGAAGAAGAGGGTAGGGGAGACGAAAGTGGGACTGGTAATTAGCCAATTCCGGAGCAAAAAGGTTGAACTGTTCGGTGAGTGGAAGATCAACTAAAAGAAAACATAACTCACTGTGGGCCGAGTGGGCCAGCCCAGCCCAGCACGAAAGTGAAAAGTCCATATTTTTATGCTTATCCAGCCAAAGTACAATAATTATAGGTCAAATACACTTGTATAGCCAAAATTTTGACGGTTTTACCAAATATAGCCATGTTTGGTAGAATATCAAAAATAGTCACTTTCGTCCAATTGTTTGACGGTGTTAGTTAACGCGCAGACTGGACTAACGGAAAAACTGACATATCAACCGTTTAGTCAATAAAAACATGAGGTGGAATTAACAAAAAAAATAAAATATAAACATTATTTATTTTCTCTCTCTCCCTCTCGGTTCTTTCGCCTGCATCAAGACGGCAAACAGATATGAAATCTTCTATGTTCTTCCTCTCTTCTTCCTTACGCTGCGGGTGAGTGTGGCGGTGGCGAGACCCCTCTCCCACCACTCGATTATTTTCCCACCGGCCCCTAGTCCCTCCATCCCTCCTTCGATTCGGCACAGAAACGATTGAGTAGAGGAAATAGAGCATTCGCGCCATTGTGAAGGCGGAAGAGACGATGGCCGCGATGGCGCCGGCTGCGCAGCTCCTGCCGCCTCAATTCGCTCCATTCGCCCGATAGCTTTTGGCCATGCTGCGAGGACAGCGTTTGGTGCAAGCTTCCGTGGGAGTTCTTGAAGGAGGCTCATGGCGAGGATGAGCTTTTGGTTTTCTAATTACGCCAAGTTATTGAAGGGGCCTTCTTGGAGCTCCGGCGACGACTCCTACTACTACTTCTGGTATAGATTCGACTCCCCTCTCGGGATGGTTTTGGAATTGGGATGGTTTCATTTGGGGATTTATATTGATTGGATTGTGGGGTTTTGTTGTTGGGGAAAGGAAGATGGTTGTAGAATCAGATTAAGGGTTCTTTGGATTGGATTAGGGTTTTTTTTTTTTTGTTGGGGGTTCTGTGGCGGGGGAGAGGCTAGTATGTTTGAAGAGGAAACGCTTGAGGGAGGAGGAATAGAGGGTTTCCAACCGACGGTGAAGATCTGAATGGCCGTGAACCGATCCGCCTCTTGCTATGTTCTTCAATCTCGTACCTCTTTCTTCTTCATCTTCCCTCTGTTTTTTCTCAATTTGAATGTGTTCGTGTTTCTGTTGGTTTTGCAAGTTGATTTGTTAGTTTATTTCCAGTTTGTTGTTGGTTTTTGAGGTTTCAATTCTCTTGATCTGCCGTTTCTTCCAACTGTACTGATTCACTCCTACTGTCACTCTAGAAATTGGCCAAGTGTAACCACTTCCTAAAGCGTAGTATAGCGGGTTTGGGTTTTAATGTCAACCCGGGTCCTAGATTTGATGACTACTCACTGAATTCTTGTTATCTAGCAGTGAAACTTTAGTGCAAGTCCAAATTAACAAACAGACAAAGCAAGTAAACGGTTGTTTTCAAGTCGAGAGAGGTCACCCGGATATGGTTCCCCCTAGACTGCAGTTAAGCCGGATTGCAATTTACCAAGTTCAGTTCCATGAAAGTTATATTGCGGAAGGTTCTTAAACAGCCTGAAGTCTCGACTAAAGGTCTTCAGACCCTCTCAATCTGAGTCTCCAGCGGGCGACTAACCTCCACCGGAGTAAACAGATTGGGGCCCTAACGAACCAAACCTCCACTACCGAATTGAATTCGGTACAGAATAGCGAATTGGCTCCTCGACTAAAGTCACCAATTCGCCACCTTCAATTAAGGGTGCTCTATCAACCTAGGCAGATATTCTCATTCTAGGTTAAAGCAGAAACAACGGGAATTTGATGAGGATTCAAGTCATTCAATCATTCAAGCCTCAATCGAATATAATCAACTCATGAAATATGTACTTGGGTTCATACAATCAGACCTAACATACAAATCTAGGGTTCTCCATACCCAGATGAATGGGAGAACTACTCCATGGAGAAAGAAGCAAAAACAGATTCAGACGCGGAAATCATACTGTGAAGGATGAGTTTCAGCTCCTGGTTGTCAATCATCACTTCTCCAACCTCAAGCCGGGCTCCAATGGTGATGAGGATCAAGCTATGGCACTTGGGAGCTCTTGTTCATCGCTTTCTCTCTCTAGGAATCGCTTTATCTATCTAAAACTCGGAACCCTTGATCTTTGGCCTTCTTTTCCTTTAAAACTGCTCCTTGTCGCGATACCCGGTCGGGTATTTTGGGTCTCGACCGGGTATAATTGAAACACGTGTTTTGCCTAAGGGAAAAATCCCTGGTCTAGGCCAATAATCCCCGGTCGGGGATTTTTGCCTCCAGCCCGGGCCCCCTTCTGTTTCTCACGGACGCCCAAAGCCGAAAATCCCCGGTCATGGCCAGATAATACCCGGTCGGGTATTTCTGTTCATGGCCGGGTATTTTTGCTCTCTAGCACACTTCAACCCAACTTCGCTCCTTTCGACCCGAAACTCGTTTCTTCGCCTCGATTCCAACGCCGGGCCCTGAAATATGACATAAACACACAACCTCGCGTGAAATCGGCTTAAAACACGAGAGTCAACCTCTCAAACGGCTCAAGAATAGGGGTAAAACATTTGTAATTATTGGTCTATCATGTACACTTCTACGTCACATCACCACGCTGTCGGCGCCGGAAATTTGCTTCTCATAGCAGGGGAAGAGGGAGAGTTGGAGAGAAGGGCGGCGGTCACTGGTGCTGGTGGGAGAGGAGAGAAGATGTGAAAATAATTTTGAGTTTTTATTTATTTTTAAGTTAAATATGACATGGCATCCATGTGGCAAGTGTTGCTGAGTTGTCAATGATGTGTCCGGTGAGTTAACAGTCATATAAGTTTTCTGTAAATTTAACTAACAGTGTTATTGACACCGTCAAATTATGTAACAGAAATGGCTGTATATGTCATCAAACTTTCAAAATTCTGACTATTATTGGCATTTCCTCAAAAGTGACTATTATTGTCACAAACGTCAAAGTTTTGGCTATACAGATGAATTTGGCCATAATTATATAAGCTATATGTTTCACCATTTATCATGATGTCGTATCAATCTATTGGATCGATTAAACTTAGATTATATGTCGATGATCAAGTCAGTATGAATTTAATATATCGTTGTACGATTTCATTATCATACATTTACAATCCAGCTAGGTATTTTTAGGATTTCAAAGTGATCCATGTGCTTAAATATCAAAATCTTAAGTAAGTTGCTTATAGCCTCCGTAATATATATAGAATAACAGATTAAGTTTAGACTAGGATGGAAAAGAACACACACATGCAACACATTGGAAATCGCAGTCATTTTTCCCGGGCTGAAAAAATGTGGTGGGGAAAAAAGAACGATTCGATCCTCTCGACATTGTGGATCGTGATGTATACGTCTGATATTATCTTGTTTACGTTCATATTCATCCGAGCTGCTTAAATCAGATCAAATCCCAGAGACCATCATCAAAGTAACGATAGAGGACTTGATAAAACTTCATGGGTTTGGAAACCAGAAGATCATTGCCTCATGAAATGAATGACCATAAATTGTTACAGGCGGTGGTGTATAATGCAGGCAAGCAGCAGCATGTGATGTTATTAACTTATAGGTATGGACACGGACAGAGTAAAAAACTATAAATGGATCACTTTTGTCCTTTATGCCCCATCCACGAGTCACTGTAGTATGAACTGACTTCAATTGGATCAAACAAGGGATATCTTAGGAAGAAAGAAGCACCACTTTACCCACAAACTGCTACACAGGCTGTTCCTTTCTATTTGCAAACATGATCATTACCACTCAATTCATTCTCTAGTCAACATGATGGATAATGAACCGTGAGCACAAAAGTAGTATCATCCTAACCTGATCATTGATTTCGCAATCTTCGGAGAGACCCCTTAGAGTAATTAGAATGGTCACAGTTGGGCTGGGAAGCCATGGAGTGGATATTCCAGGGACCATGGAGGTCAGAGCTCTTGTTATGTACCTGTGCATGGCGCATGAGTTGAAGATGGGGCACCGTAGGAGTATCTCCATTGTTCACACGCCGAGCACTTGTCCAGTTTCGTGCTGTTCTCGAGGGTGCAGAATCTGCAGTACCATGACTTGTGCTTGGTACCATCATCCCTAGGCCTTTCTGTGGCACAGAGCTCGCATAATGGGGCCAATGGCTGTAAAACAGTCCAGAAAATGAACTATAGTTGAAGGAGCAGGCTAATTGAAGGCATTGAAGAATACAAAAATGATTATGTGTAGAGATGCAGGATGCATAAGCGCAGACACGATGGGAAATACATTGCATTTGAAAAACTGCAAAGCTTCTCCCAAGGGATAGTAAAGCATGCATGAGATTCATCAACAGTGGCATACAAATACACGAAACTTGAAGATCCATGAAACCTTCTAATATGTATCATTCAATGACCTTAGATCATAAAGAGTTCCGCAGAAAGATAAGGTGTCTAAAGGGAAAGCAATTGTGCATGAACTTTGCAGCTATAGAATTTAAATTATATGATCCCTAAAGCCGAAAGGTCATACACATGGTACATAACTGGTAAAAGTCAAGCTTATTGCCATCATGGATCAAAAGTGAGGTCAGACAAGAAAAGGAAGGTTCTACTAAAACAATCTCCAGTTACAGGGCACAACTCGTCTAAAAATAAAGCAGCCGATACAGAAGACTTACTGGATTCAATAGGGTACACGTTCCACATTCCCACATAGCAGGATCATCTGTATCAGAAGTTGCACCTGGATCAACTATGCACCAACAGATACCACAGTAATGGCCTGAGAAAATGACGTATAAGAGAAAATTTTGCGAGAAGAGTTCATTTACTAGTTACCTTCCATGTTATAGTTTGAGGGATGAACAGATCCAGCTTCAGATGCTAAAGCATCTTTGGAGAAGTTACTTGAACATGACTCTGGACGACCAGTAGAAGATGGATAATTTGAAGTGTCACTTGGTTCACGACTTCTTTTTCTACCAGCATTATTAAGGTTGGAGCTACGGGAAGTTTGCCCAGTTGATGATGAACTGCCTTTGGCGACATCACAGGGCTCATCTTCTTCATCATCAGAAACTTCAACCAACTGGGAAGCACACCAGATATCATCTTGCAATCTCCTTTCGGCAGCCATTGCTGCAGCTTGCACTGGAGTGAGTGCATCCATTATATTGCTATCACCACCAAGACGTTTCGGCCCAGACGGTAGAATCGCTCCTAATTTTGCTCTCTTTTCAGCAGCAGCTAAAGCAGTTTGTCGAAGTTGTGTCATTGGAGGCTGACGGGAAAACCCACCTAAACGCCTCCCTGGAAGATCAAACCCATCTCCAGTTCCACTAATTCCCTGGGATATTAACTCCTCGCATTCCTAGAGAAAGTAACCAAAACAGTACTATAAGCATCACGATGCTTACAGAAGACCATAGGCCTGTAGTTTGGAAGCATTTGTATTCAACAAAAGAGGAAAGGGGAAAATACGGACCTTTCTGAGCTCATCCCACAACTTGTAGAAGTTAGCATTGTGAGGACCGTGAGCGTTGTGACAAAGTTCATGCAGCATTGTATCAAGCACCTGATCATATGGATAGAAATCCCAATCCCTATTTGGTCTGCGGAGCCTAAGCTTTACACTCACGCCACCATTTACATTCAAGCCCAGAAGTCTGGGGTTGCTCGGACTGCAGCTCAACAACATAGGAATTCGATAAGCCAACACAAAACCAAAGGAAAATAAGACTAAAAGCCAAACAATTGTTAACTAACTAATATCTAATAGTTATCTCAACCATACTCAGCTGCAATTAAACGGGAGCCTTAACCAGGAAAATTGAACAAGGAGAAGCCACCCAAACTAGAACCTGCAATACCCATCTTTATCCTGGTGTATCAACTAGCTCAGCTATCCATCAAACCCTTGAAGTTAAAATTTTGGCGACTGAAACCAATCAAGTTGGTAAGAACCTGAACTTCTTTACTTTCTGAAGCTTAATCTCATCCCAAATTTCCAATGACTCTCAAAATGGAGGTGTTACGGTTGAAGACTCGACCAGTTCGAAACCCCATTGTCGGATTTTCCAAGGGAACCAAAAGGAACAGACTGAATTAAAAACTGAAGAAAAGAGAATTACACACCAGAATTCGCAGAGAAGCTTGACCCGCCATTTGTGTTTGCGCATGATAGGCTGGACCTGCTTGGCTATTTTCTCCAGCATCTTCTGGGCTTCCTCCGCCGCCGGCTTCCTCTTTAGGGCTCTGACTTCCCATACTTTGTGGAGATCTCCCGAATTCATTCTCCGTGTAAACCGATAACCGGAATCAAAATCCCCCCGCCGGAGTTTTGGTGCTGAGAACGGCCGAACGGAGATCGTCGTTCGTCTATCGTCGATCTTGGGGAATCGGATTGAGAATTTGGTGGAGGTGATCTTTTGATTTCTCCGGGACGAGGTTGGCGCGTTTTCGAAATTGATGTTCGCACGGGTCAGCGGGTATGAGTTCTTGGGCCAAAAGGTAAAGAAGCCCGGCCTCTTTCGGTCGGGATTCGTCTGGAATTGGGCCGGTTGGTTATTCGCCCATTCTTTTACCGGGTCAATCTCCTTCCAACAATTCCAACCACTTTTGATTGGGAATTATAATTTCCAACCTTTTGCCTTTTGAAATTCCATTTCCTATTTATTTTTTACTTTTAAACATGGGAATTATAAAAAGTTTGAAAAATTAAGTTTCATTTTCTAAAATTCTAACCTATCCAAACAGGCTGTAAGCGTCACTCTAAAGATAAAAAAAATTCTCGTTGTGTCGAATTTCACTCTAGCAATGGTTTTGTCAATCAATATACAATATACATACAAGATGAAGATTATACTTTTGCATGTTTAGTGAAATTCAACCGAATGTGCACGTACTCAACAAAATGTGTACTAGGGGCTGTTCAACCAAATTACAAAGCATTTGTAATTTTGTCGAACTATAATTTGAGAGTATATTGGTGTCACGCTCGGAGTTTCGTTTATGAACGCTTTACGATTTCTCCTTGGTTTGGTTACGGCTAGAAACTACAAACCGCAACCGATCAGAGTCGCATTGAGTATTTATCCAAACCCATTCACCCAAACCCCAACAAGAAATCACTGTGAAAATGCCAAACTGCGCTACATATATTTTGTACTTCACTGTCCTCCAAACAACAACTACGAAAAATCTCTCGAAAACAGACAATTACGATTCTCTCCGGCGGCCTCAGGTGTCCCAGATCATGACGACGGCTATCACAGCCACACCAAACGTCACGGCCAAGACCTTGAAACCCGGCCTGTCGACGGCCACTTCCCGCAGTGGGGTGTACCCTTTGGAAAGCAGGTGATTAATCGACACATAGATGAACACACCGCAGGCCAAACCCATGGAGATGGCGAAGATCCAGTCGGCCACTTCCCCTTGCGTCGTGGCGTCGATCACGATCCCGATCGCGACGCCGACCGGGCTCGAGATGGCGAACGCGAATGCATACGCCAGGCAGGACAAGAAGGGCCGATCGGGAATCATACGAAGCAGAGCAATCCCCATTGCCACTGCGGCGAAGATCTTGTGGAGGGAAATCGTCCACAAAGCTTTCCAGGCGTCGCTCTGCGTTTCCGCCACTCCGATTGCGATTCCTTCGAACACGGAGTGGAAGCAGAGCGCCACTATCAGCAGAATGCTGTCGCCGAAGGATCGCGCTGTTCCCAGGGAAGCAGAGTCGCCGCCGGCAGAATTATCTGCCCCATTTTGCCCCTGCCAAAAAAGAAAAAAAAAACAGAGCAACGTTTTTGGTGATTCTGTACACTGAAATTTTATCCATCTAAACTCAACCAATTTCAACATTCCACAATCTTCCTACTACCCTTCACAGAGATAGATAATTTATTTACAGCGAAAAACAGGGGAATTGAGTTCACGATTCTCAAAACTAAACATTTATTTGCAGAGGAATAACAGGGGAATTGAATTGAGTGCACGATTCGGATTCGCAAACTCAAAGACTCATGATTGATTCCACAATCATCATCCACCTACCGGTAAGTGCGACGCGTGGCTTCCCTTTGCTTGCGAGCCGGTTCCTGTCGGATCAACGGTAAAGAAACCAGAATTAAATTTCCGTACCCACCCAACCATTTTTTCCGGTATAATTTAATTATCCCAGCATCCAAACAAACAGTCAACAGGGGATAGGGGAAAAATAAAATAAAAAACCCTCTTTCTCCGTACCTTCCAAATCACGGGCGGCGGCGGAGGGGCTGGTTCCGTCCTTGGAATAAACATAGGAGATGACGCAGTCGGCGAGCATGGTGATCAGGTAGCCGGCGGTGGCCAACATGAAAGCGAAAGGGTACTCTTTGGTGGTCAGTTCCCGAAAGGTATCATTGGCGTCGCTCAAGAAGTGCATCAGAGCGGTACCCAGGAACACACCGCCGGCGAATTGGGTTCCGAGTAAGAGGAACCCTTCGTTCCATTTGAGGAAGTAAGGGGAGACGCCGGCGATTAGGGTTGCGAAGAAGACCACTATCAAGCACCCGACTTTGGCTAGGATTAAGGGTTTGGAACGGAGGTCGACCGGATCGGAGGAAGCGTCGGCGTCATCGTCGTCATCGTGGCCGCCGCCGTGTGCGGCCGCGAGGAGGAGGATGGAGAGGAATAGGGTTAGGAAGAGGAGGGGAAAACGAGACATGGAAATTGGGGTGGTTTAGTTATGGAAGGAGAAGGAGGCTGCGTAAACAGGGGAAGTCTGTGAACCTTTTTCTCTTGAAGCTTTTTCCTTTTTAGCTTATAAGGAGAAGAAGGAAGGAAGCGTGAATTGAATAGTTGGCCTGTGACTGTCTGTGGATAAATACATTGGAAAGGACAACCAGAGATGAGAGAGAGAAAATGGTGACAGTGAGACAGTGGTGTAAAATGTATCAGACGATAAACACCAAGTTTGGGAGGGGTGAGGTGAGTCTTGGTTTGTTCTCGTCAATCTCGACAAACATGTATTTTTGAGGAGGATTTTGATTAATGAGTTTCCTTAATGTGTACATATGTTACTATGTAAGTGAAGATATACATCATACAGAAAAAAGAGGCTCGAGGTTAAGTGATTGAATTTTGTTCCATTTTTATGGTATCGGTTAAGCATTAGTATTAGTAAATAAATAATGGTTCACACTTCACCATTAGTATTTTGTTTCATAGTTGTGTAGTTAGATTCATGGGTTGGGCTAATGGGTGGGTAAATTTATTGGGATTTTTCCAGAAATAGCACCTTTAAAAAAAATTACAAAAATAGCACCTTTAAAAAAAAAATTACGAAAATAGCACCCATCCGTAAAAATTTCCACTAATAGCACCCTTTTTAATAGAACGCACCTTGTAGATGCGTTTTACATATAAATCGCACCCTACAAGTGCGTTTTAAATATAGATCGCACCCTACAAGTGCGTTCCAAAAATCTGGAATCAAATCACACTTTAGCAAAGTGATTTTAGGTCTGACCTAATAAAATCGCATGGCCGAGGTGCGATTTTAGGTCTGACCTACTGAAATCGCATGGCCAAGAAGCGATTTTATGTCTGACCTAGTAAAATCGCATGGCCGAGGTGCGATTTGTTTCTGCCAGACAAAATCGCACCATGAGGATGCGATTTTAACATGCAAACCGCACCTTAAAGGTGCGGTTTTGGTCAATCAATATCCGACATCCATACAGACGTTACAGACGTGGGTCTGCATGGGCCTGCATGGCAGACGAAAATCGCATCTCTAAGGTGCGGTTTTCATCAAGATTTTGCCTATAAAAGGCCTCCCGAACAACCATTTCTCTTCACACCTCTCCTTCTCCCTTCCCTTTTCAATTTTCTGTTGTATCTCTATATTTCTTTAGTAGTTTTGCGATTAACGTTAACTCGTAAGTTGATTTAGTATTACATATTTCTTTAGTAGTTTTGCGATTAACGTTAACTCGTAAGTTGATTTAGTATTACTTTTTATTGTTAATTTTTATTTTTGATTTTTATGATATTAACTTAACTACGGTTTTATCGCAGATGACATTCCAAAAGTTCACGCTTGGCTTACGGTGGAATGGTTACACGGAAGAGACCGGAAAGGGTGCCACATACGTAGGTGGCAATTTTCAGAAGATAAAGGTCGCTACCAGACCGCTGCTTGAAGACCTCCATCAAATGTGCACTAACGTTACTTGCATGGATGGCACGAGAAAAGTTGATCGTATGGTGTACCGATATCCAAACAGAGAAAGTGGGTCATTGTGGCATGAGGAATATCTCATAACCACTCAGGATGAGGTAGACGCCATGCTCGAATTCATGAGGTCCAACAATCTTTCCAAAGCCGAGATGTTCGTTTACACCGAGCCGGTCGTAGGCGTTGGAGGTCATTCTGGACACGGTCAAACATCTGGTATCCATTGTGGAGGTGAATACTATGGCGATCATCCCTACCAAAGTTACCATGATCCTAATTCATATTTTCAGTACCAAGAGCAAGGTGAAGGTCATCATCAATCATATGAAGAAGAAGTTCAACCGGACCGCCCCAACCAACCTCAGTACAACTTCCTCTCAGGCAGCGGTAGTTTTCACAACTACCAATATGGAGCTGATGAAGGTGCCTTTCATGAGTTGGATCAGATGGAGGATGTCATGGCAGCACCAGTCAGTGACCCCTCCGATGAAGAAGGAGAGATCAACGTCAGTGCAGACAGCTCCGACCCTCTTGAAGGTGCCGATGATTCCGGACCAGAGTCAGACTCAGCTAATGATGATGAGGGGGCTCGTGACCGTGTACCAGTCCCCTACTACAATCACATTCCAGACGACAATTGGATGGTCGACAACGACATGGAGCCGCCAGAGGTCCCAATATGGGGTCCACTCACTGGGTTTATGAAGGGCCAACAATTTGGCTCGAAGAAGGATGTGCGTCACGCCATTGAGACAGAAGCAATGACTCGGCATTTTGAAGGGCTCACAACTCATTCCAACACTAAAAGGCTCTTAGTCAGATGTCGTAATCATCACGAGGGGTGCAATGTTAGGATTCGGGCCATCAACAGCAAGAGACACGGTTGCTGGGTCATATGCGGTGAACACACACACATGTGTGTCATCCATAACTTCCCAAGGCCATCGACAGTTGAAATCCAGGGTGGTTGCTGCGGCTATCAAGCATCTAATTGAGCAAGAGCCAGACCTAAAGGTGAAAGTCATAATCGCTGACATTGCAAGTCGTTATGGTTATATGATTAACTATAAGAAGGCGTGGCATGGAAAGCAGAAAGCTCTGGCCGCCGTCTTTGGTGATTGGGAAGAATCGTATGCATTCCTTCCCAGATTAATTTTGGCATTGGAGGCGTCTAACCCTGGCACGGTTTTCTCCCCTCGATACTAAGATGAAGAGATACAACCCCCAGATCC